ATAGATCCCATCTCACAGATCAGGGGTTCTAATACTTTGTTAAAAATTCGGATTCTTAATTTGTTCCTAGAGATTGACTAGATAAAGGTTAGAGTTCCCCTTGTTATTTTTTCTTCACCTGGCTGCCCCCAGTGTGCACACAAATTTAGGAGACAATGTATTAGGTAAGACTGACTAAGAATAACATCTGATGGTGTAGTAGAACAGTGGGCTCACCTGAGATTATGATGCAAGTTTAATAGGCCTGGGCTTGGACCTAAAGTAACTTCATTTCTATCAAGTTCCAGGTGAGACTGGTGTGCTTCTCTGAGAATCATACCTGAAATAGCAAAAAGAAAACGAATAAGATGAGACCACAGCCTCACTTAGTAACCTATTCCAGTAATCTAGGCAAGAGATGATGAGTATCTGAACTGCTGCCAGTGCCTGGCAATGGCAAGAATGGGGTCCAGTGAAATGTGAGGAGATAAAATTGGAAAAACTAACTTAGAGACTAAGATTCAGAGTTTGAAGTAAAGACGGTCACGTTTGGTATGACACATGGCTGTCTAGAAAGATGGTGGTACCGTTAGCTAAAGTATAAAATAAAAGTGGTTTGGTGTGTGAAGGAGGACTGGTTAGAAGAGATACATTGTCTAGATTTGAGAAATGGAGTAGACAGATGGGGTTTTGTTTTTTTTTTTTTTAAATACATTGACTTTGAAGAGTCTATTAAAGTAGCTAACATTTTAAGGGTGGATGAAAGAAGAACCCATAGGGACTAAGAAATACTAAGCAAAATGATTGACACAGAAAGAGCAGTATCAAAGGCAAATGCAGGGGGTTGAGAGTGTAACTCAGTGGCACATTTGCCTCTTGTGCTTGGGGTACCAGGTTCCCTCCCAGCACACCCACCCCTGACTCCATACCACACACACACCAAAGGAGGTCACAGTATTATTCCCTTATCTGTATCAAGCCAAAAATTGTGTATGCATGTATACATTATAGTTAGAAGGCTAAGTTTCCAAAAAACTGGTTAACTAAAGGAAGATTATAAAGCCCCAGATTAGTTTTTTTTTTTTTTTTCTCAATCTTTTGGAGAAAAGTTTAGAAGTAAAGCTAGTTATTTTCCACATCATTCATAATGGTAGCTCTCATAGTGCCTTTTGCATTGAGATTTTTTTTCTCTCCCCCCCCCCCCCGCCACAGATTGATCATACTTAGAAGAGCTGCTATGACAACACAAGGAGGTGAAAACTAACAGATGCAAAAGCAAGTCTTGCTATGCACTGAAGAAACAGTATTGTCTGGGAAGTTCTATTTTTAAAAATGTCTGCTTGTAACACCTTTACTGAACACGTTTGGAAACCTGGTGAATGCAAGAATTGCTTTAAACCTAAAAGCTTGCACCAGCTCCCTCCAGACTCTGAAAAGACGCCCAGCACCCATGGCAATGTGAAAACCAATGCCAATCATAGTAACAACCATCGAGTCAGGAACACCGGGAATTTCCGGCCCCCTGTGGCTAAAAAGCCCACCATAGCTGTGAAGCCCACTATGATGGTGGCAGATGGGCAAAGTGTATATGGTGAGCTTAGCATCCAAGAACACTGTGAGAACAAACCTGTCATCCTGGGATGGAACCAAAACAAGACTTCTTTGAGCCAGAAACCACTTAACAACAATTCTGAAGGTGATACTGAAGGTTATGGCCATGTTCCTCAGCAGTGTGGCAATAATGACAGTGCCAAGAAGATATCCAATAACAATAATGGACTAACTGAAGTGTTAAAGGAGATCGCAGGTCTGGATGCAACCCCTCAGATAAAAGGAAATGAAACAAACTCCAGAGAAACATTCTTAGGAAGAATAAATGATTGCTACAAACGATCGTTGGAAAGAAAGATCCCACCAAGTTGCATGATAGGAAGCATAAAGGATTCTCAGGGCAAGCATGTTATTCTGAGTGGGAGCACAGAGGTCATCAGTAATGAAGGGGGAAGGTTCTGCTACCCCGAGTTTTCAAGTGGTGAGGAGAGTGAGGAAGATGTACTTTTCAGACTTTTCAGTAACATGGAAGAGGAGCATGAGAGCTGGGACGAGAGTGACGAAGAACTGTTAGCCATGGAGATTCGCATGAGAGGGCAACCTCGCTTTGCTAACTTCAGGGCAAACACTCTGTCTCCTGTTCGATTCTCTGTAAGCAAAAAATGGAATACTATCCCCTTACGTAATAAGTCTCTGCAGAGAATCTGTGCTGTAGACTATGACGACAGCTATGACGAAATACTGAATGGTTATGAGGAAAATTCTGGGGTCTCCTATGGTCAAGGAAGCATGCAGAGCATGGTATCATCAGATACCACATCGCCAGATTCCTCCTTTACAGAAGAGTCACGTTCTGAAACAGCCAGCAGTTTATCCCAGAAGATTTGTAATGGGGGGCTATCGCCTGGTAACCCAGGAGATTCTAAAGACATGGCAGAAACCGAGTCTAATAACGAAAGTCCACCTGGTAATAATGAGGAGAAGGACTCGCCACTGACTTCCAAAAGCTCAGCAAAAGTTCCAGAGACACACAAAGCAGTCCTCGCTCTCCGCTTAGAGGAGAAGGATGGCAAAATTGCAGTACAAACTGAGAAGCCAGAAAGCAAAGCCTCCACAGATATCGCTGGCCAGGCAGTCACCATCAGCCTCGTCCCAGTAGAAGAACAAACAAAGCCCTACCGAGTGGTAAATCTGGAACAGCCACTGTGTAAGCCATATACTGTTGTGGATGTGTCGGCAGCCATGGCCAGTGAGCACTTTGGGCGCCCCAAGATAAAAGGTTCATCTTCTACTCCAAACTCTCCAGTAACATCACCTGCGTTGACACCAGGACAAATAAATTCCCACTGCAAAAAGTCTAGTGCAATCCGATACCAGGAGGTGTGGACTTCGAGCACCAGCCCACGACAAAAGATCCCTAAAATAGAATTAAGTACTGGGGGAACTGGGCCAAATGTCCCTCCAAGGAAAAACTGCCATAAATCAGCACCCACCTCACCCACGGCTACAAACATTTCCTCCAAAACCATTCCTGTTAAGTCGCCTAATTTGTCTGAAATAAAGTTTAATAGTTACAACAATGCTGGGATGCCACCTTTCCCCATTATCATTCACGATGAGCCATCCTATGCTCGGAGTTCCAAAAACGCTATTAAAGTTCCCATTGTTATTAATCCAAATGCTTATGACAATCTCGCCATCTATAAAAGTTTTCTGGGAACAAGTGGAGAACTCTCAGTGAAAGAAAAAACCACAAGTGTAATAAGCCATACTTATGAAGAAATAGAAACTGACAGCAAAGTGTCTGATAACACCACTAGCAAGCTCCCAGACTGTCCCCAAGCTAAAGGCTTTTCCAACAGCACAGAGCGTAAAAGAGGCTCAGTAGCTCAGAAGGTTCAAGAGTTTAACAATTGTCTGAACAGAGGTCAGTCTTCTCCACAAAGAAGCTATAGTTCCAGCCACAGCTCCCCAGCAAAAATCCAGAGACCCATTCAAGAGCCTGTGGCCAAAACAGAAGGCGTGCTGGGGTCTCAGATGGCAGGCAGTAGTGGCAGCACCAAGGAGAAAGCAAGTGCCGTGCTTTGTCAGTTTCTGGCTTCTATCCAGCCCCCCCAGACTCCTCCAGAAGCACCTCAATCTAGCCCTAAGGCTTGCAGTGTGGAAGAGCTCTATGCCATTCCTCCAGATGCAGATACTACAAAAAGTATACCGAAAAATACGCCAGTCCGACCCAAATCTCTCTTTACATCTCAATCTAGTGGGGAAACTGAAGCACATCAGACCACAGAAAACCCCACCACCAAAATTCAGAAAGATCCATTCACAAAGACAGTCACTTCTCCTCCTTCCAAATTAGTGGCCAGCACCCAAAGTGAGCCACCACCTCCCTTTCCCCCACCACGGTCTACTTCCTCCCCTTACCATGCAAGTAACCTTTTGCAGAGGCATTTTGCCAATTGGACCAAGCCAACCAGTCCTACTAGATCAACAGAAGCTGAATCAATTTTGCATTCTGAAGGCAGCAGGAGAGCAGCTGATGCAAAACCTAAACGTTGGATATCATTTAAAAGCTTCTTCCGCCGTCGGAAAGCAGATGAGGAAGAAGAGAAAGATAAAGAGCGAGAGAAAGGGAAGCTGGTGGGCCTGGATGGAACAGTCATCCACATGCTGCCTCCGCCTCCAGTCCAGCGCCATCACTGGTTCACAGAGGCAAAAGGAGAGTCCAATGAGAAGCCTGCTATTGTCTTCATGTACAGGTGTGACCCTGACCAAGGCCAGCTGAGTGTGGATCAAAGCAAAGCTGGGGCAGAGAAAGGAAGAACAGAGGATGTGTTATTCCAGAACTCAGAAGAGAAGAAAAGTAGCCATTCTTCTCCATCTCAGATTCCTGACAAAGCTTGCAGGTATGTAAACTAAACCCATGGAATATAGGAAAATATTAAGATATTTTAAATACATTTTCAGGTATTTTAAGATTGCACAAAAGCCATTTCCGTTTATAAGTAGTGCTGCAAGGTCATTATCCATCTTGATAACTACATTCCAAAATTAGAACATTATCAAAGTGATCTCACTGCACTGAATGAACAAGGTTTATGGCCCTGAATCTCTAGCTAAAGTAGTGCATCACATTCTGGTAAATGCAGGGGGCTTCAACATAGAAAAGCAAATCCATAGCACTGTAATATCAATGTATAATGTTCTGGATGCTGAGATGGTATAAGGAAGAAGCAAAATGAAAGTTCCTTCCCTCCTATGCATGAAATAAAACTCCAAGCAACTCTTTATGGCTTTTACCAATTTGTTATCCTCAGATGTATTACTTTATCTTAAGTGAATATTTGGTTTTTTATTGCTCTCTTTTCAATCCTCTTTTCAAATATTGTAGAGAAAGTACAGAGAAGAGAGTAAGCAGTTTGTAGATTTTTTTTTAACATGTAGCAGAAATAAGAAAAGCTGCTTTATTGATACTGAGACCAAGAGGTACACTCCTCCCATCACCCAAGCAGGCTGTGAGTTCTCTAGGCATTAGTTTTCTTTAATACCTCAGTAACTATTTTTAATCACATGCTCTCTACATGGTATGTCCCAAGTATTTTTCTCAAATCCTACTAAAACCCTATAAATTGACTCCATTCATCAGATGAGGAACTGAAAATTAAAGAACTGACCAGAATCATAAGTTAGTACTTAGAAGAGCTAGAATTCACATTTTGATCTGTCTCACTGTAGAACTTTTTTCTTCCTAAAATGCTATGTCATTAATGAACATGAGATCAAACCAAGGACTGGAGAAGTAACCCAGTAGAGTGCTTGCATAGCGTGTATAAGGACCTGGCCTCAGTGCCACACACACACACACACACACACACACACACACACACACACACACAGTCCAGGACTGTGCACATGAACATCCACTGTACACACACATGATGTATACATATATATCTGCTTTTATTTATACAAATGTTTATGTGTAGGGATGCTGTTTATCTTTCTTGTTACTATTATAAACAAAGTTAATTAACTGTCAATTAAACATTTATCCAAAGTTTGTGACAAGTAGGATTTCTTTTTCATCCTTATTCATTTTAGTCTTGAACAAGTGCCCCAAATACTTCATTCTTCTGAGTCATCTTCCCTCCTGACACACAGTAAACTTTCTCTCTCCAGCTTGGCCTCCTCTCTGGCAAAGATAACAACCTCTGATTGATAGGACAGATTTTCTCACCAGTTTCCCATAAAAATATATAAGTGAAAATGAACACTCGGTGCCTGCAATTTTCCTAGCAAAATGCAAGGAAGTTTTCTACATGTTCTTTACTAAAAATGATCCTTTCTCATACCTACATGGAGTTGTCAGTGATTTCCAGGGAGGAATGGCCTTCTTATCAGTTGATTCTTGTGCTCCCTTTTACATCCTCAGTGATAGCCTGTCATGCTCCAGTTGTAAAGTAATGCATGGATTTCGGGTTCCTGTTTCATTTAGAAAAGAAGCCACTTAAATAGCACACAGTTAGAGTTACCTAGGAGGGAATAGCATATAGCTCTTGCAGATCAATAAATGACTTTACTTCTATTTAAGTATGGCTGTGGTAAATGTATCCAGACCTTGGAAAACAGCCAAATACTGGTGTAGCCTTTCTTTTGTGACTCTTTCCTATGGCTGTACTATATTATATGTGGACTTGAGGCAACCTAAGCCCTCCATGTGGCAGACCCCTTAGTGCTGAGTTTTTAATTTCTTTATAAACCTGTCTGTGAATCCAAATGACACAGTTGATTTGCTTCGTTAATACTGAGATTTGACTGTTTCAGTTATCCAGTGGGATGTTAAAACACTGACAGGGTCTACTCCCAGGGTTTCTTTCTTTTTTAATATTTATTTATGTATTATGTATACAGTGTTCTGCCTACATGTATGCTAATGCCTGCAGGCCAGAAGAGGGCACCAGATCTCATTACAGATGCTTGTGAGCCACCAGGTGGTTGCTGGGAATTGAACTCTGGACCTCTGGGAGAGCAGCAAGTGCTATTAACCTCTGAGCCACCTCTCCAGCCCCAGGTTATTGCTGTTGTTGTTTTCTGGTTTTTTGGGAGAGGGTTTCTCTGTGTAGCCTTGGCTGTCCTGGAACTCGCTTTGTAGACCAGGTGGCCTCAAACTCAGAGATCCACCTGCCTCTTCCTCCCAAGTGCTGAGATTAAAGGTGTGCACCACCACTGCTGGCAACTCCCGGGTTTCTGATTCACTTGGTCTGAGGTGCATCCTGACTTTGCACACCCAACAGGATGGTGTAGAATCATTCATTAATCTTGCAACTGTTCTAACAGTACATAAATAACGCCATGATTGGGATACTAAACTGCTCTTAGAGGCAAATTTAAATTTTCTCATTTCACAGTGTCCCAGAGTGAGTAGAAAAGGAAGTATCCAATAGGTTATTTTTAGCCCTGTGGAAAGTTTAAAGCATGAATATGTATATTGAAAACTATACTCCATTTGCTTTTAAAATAATTACCTCATTTACTTGGATTGTCATTGATATTTACTTGAAGCAACTTTGAGAGGGAAAACATTACAATCAAATGTCAACATTTGTGTTTCTGGCTTGATGGCAGTATGATTATTAAATTACCATCCCATGCCTGGGAACACACAGCTAAAAGAAATGAAAATACACTTTTCCTATAAGTAAATGAAGATGCCCAATCTAAACTGTCTGTAAAGAATGAAGAATGAAAAATACCCTTCTGATGGCTAGACTGCAGGGCCTGAAAGATGAGACTTGTAGAGCCTTTCATTGTGGCATTAGACTATTCCTGACATTTATTTGACTGTTCCTAAGACATAAATTGAATATGTGCCATTAGCCTTAGAACAAATAGGGAGAAGGACATTGCTGAAATAATGAACTTGGGTATGACTTCAGCCTTGACTCTCTGGCCCTTCCTTGTATAGGACCATAGTGATACTTTCCATACAGAATTAATTTGAACATTTCATGAGACGACATACAGTAGGCTGCCCGGGGCCTGGCATATTAGATGTTTAAAAGTGTTAGTAGCTCCTCTGTCCTCAATGTGGTAAGTGCTCCATGCACAAAATGATAAAGTAGCACAAAACACCTAGTGATTAAATCAGCTTAAATCGACTTCTCAGAAATGAAATTGGAACCAGATGTTAAAGGACAAATAAGACGGCTGAATGTAGCAGCATGTATCTCTAATTTCATCAGTCAGGAAGCTGGGGCAGCAGGATTGTGAGTTCAAGGCTATCCCTCGCGCCCCCCTGTCTCTCTGTCTCTCTCCCTCCCTCTCCCTCCCAACACTTGCACAGCACACACACACGCGCGCGCACACACTTAGAATCCATGGAAGATCAAATAGACACTGTGTGTATCACTATCTTCACACTGTACTGTGTTTGGGTCTTGGATCTATGCCAAAAGGTCCCTGTGTTAAATCTGAGTGGCCAGCACATGGTTCTCCTAAAAGGTGATGAAGTCATTAGGTGGAAGCCCTTTGAAGAGAGTCACTGAGGCAGTAAAAAGGCTCTAAAGAGAATATTGGGACTCTAGCCTCAGTTTGTCTGTTTCTCATCCCCCTTTCTGTCTTCTCCCTCACCCCTTCCTTACCCCCTTCTCTCATAAGCAGCTTCTCTGCATATACACACCCTGATACTACCTTGGCAACAGCTAAAAGACAGTGGTTCCAAGGACTGAAACTGTAAACCATGACAAATCTTTTCCTCCTTATAAGTTGATTGTCTCAGATTACTTGGTCACCGTGATGGAAAGCTAACCAACACAGGTCACTCTGTTGACCTTTGCACTGACAGAGCAAAAACACATCTAGGTAAAACTATTGCACTGTAGCCCAAACAAAGCTATGACACCAAATTGTGCTGGAAATTTAAAAGGAAAAAAAATCAGTTTTATTTTAAGGTTAAGTTGTAAATTTGGTTAAATCTCAACCCTTGATTACTTGTCTTTTGTTTTTAACTGTGTGCTGATATGGAAGTATATGTGTACATTTCGGGGGCATACCAAGTTGAAGGAAAGCACTTGTGAAATGGGTTGCAGTTTCAGTTAGGAAATTTAGCCCTTTTTTTACTGACCACGGAAAGGACAGTTGGCAGACCAAAAGCTATCACTCCTAAGGAGACAAATTATGTTTTTTTGTGATAAAACTCGAGCTTTCAAGCCAGGGCAGTGGTGGCATACACCTTTAATCCCAGCACTCAGAGGCAGGTGGATCTCTCAGTTTAAAGCCAGCCTGATCTACAGAGTGAGTTCCGGGATAGCCAGGGCTACACAGAGAAACTCTGCCTTGAAAAACAAAAAGAAAAAAACAAAACAAAAAATTCTACTCTGAAAAGTTTTTTTCAAAAATAAAATGACCCATTTTAAGATGGTTTTCAGTAAAAAGTAATCCTACGCTGTCAATTCCAAGAACAACAATACATACTAGGGCCTTGGAAGGAAAGAGAGTCGGAGTACCTAGAGCCTATGAGAGAGAGGGTGAGACTGAACAGGCAGGAGGATGGCGCTCACAAAGGAAACCTGTTTCAGAAAAGGTGTATATGACTCCCTCAAATCAGGCTGCAGGGATGCCCTTCAGTTCTGGTTACTTAGGTGCACTTTGGAAAAGAGGTCAACTCCAAGTCTTATATATTGCACCAGATGTTTTAGAGATAATCTGTTTTGTCGAATAGCATCTCTGTAAGGTAGTCATCATTTTTCCTGTTGAACATGAATGGAAACCCTAGCCCAGAAGTTAAATTCAAGTCAGTGGTGAAGTCAGAATTCAGATTTGTCAATTCCAGTGCTTGGGCCACCACGTTATTCCCTATGTTTTGAGTACTAAAGTTCAGAAAAGGTAAGAAAGATAGCACTCTCTA